AGTAATACATGCATACCCATGTTTATAGAAGCACAATTAACAATAGCCAAACAATGGGACCAGCCTAGGTGACTATTAATGGATGAATGCCATGTATACACAACAGAGTTGTATTCAACCATAAAGAATGAAATTTTCTCATTTGCAGGAAAATTGATGGAACTCGAGAGCATCATGTTTAAGTGAAATAAGACAAACTCAGAAAGCCAAGGGTTATGTTATCTCTGATATATGGAAGCTGGGGTGCGGGGGAGAGAAGTAATAAAAGAGAAAACAACCTGGACAGGAATCATGTTTGCATTCCCAGTGTCTCATAGAGCATCTGGTACATAGTAGGTATTCATTAGAAACATGTTGAATAAATAAATGGTTGATGACATTAATCTTTATTTCTTGTCTTCCAAATTTGTGATTTTTAGGAAACTGCCTTAAACAAAGCTTGTTCAGATCAAAGCTCATGCATAAAATCACAGCAAAGTGTGATATGATAAATAATATATTTGGTCCTGATCCCCACTCCCAGAACAGTTCTTCAGAAACTCTGAATTTTCGCAGTGACAGGTGTGTCTTTGTTATGCTAATGAGCGAACCCACAGGGACCTTTAGATTTTTATGATTTTTATGCCACATCAAGAAGACCAAACATATACCATTAGAGGTTGGACCTTGCAGCCTCAGCCCCGCAACCTCCTGGATGGGGAAAAGGATTGGGATTGAGTTCAATCACACGGTGAATGATTTAATCAATCATGCCTGCAAAATGAGACCCAGATAAAAACTTTAGACACTGTGCTCAGTGGAGCTGTCTGGTAGGTGAACACATCAATGCGCTGGGAGCGTGGCGAGCCCTGACTCCAGGGAGACAGAACCTTCTGTGCTCATGATCCTTCCAGATCTTGTGCTACACATCTCTTCATCTGGCTGTTCATCTGTATCCTTTATAATAAATGCTAATCATTAAGTACAGAACATTCCTGAATTCTGTGAGACATTCTAGAGAATTATCAAATCTGAGGGGCTTGTGGGAGGCCTTTTTGTGTTTGCCCTGGCAGAAGTGCAGGTGGCTTGGGACACCTGAAGTTTGTGGCTGGCATCACGTCTAAAATGGGGCAGCGTTTTTGAGACTGAGTCCTTAAGTTGCAGGAGGTCTCGCCTAATTCTGGATAGTGTCAAATCAAGCTGAATTATAGGACACTCAGAGAATTGGTATCAAGAGAATTGGTATCAGAGCAAAGAAAATCAGGAGGAATTCCAAGGCAGCTTGTGTTTCTCTGATATAAAACAAAACAAACAAACAAACAACAACAACAACAACAAAAAACATTGTAAACTTAGGATCATAGATTTTATGAAATAGCTGTGTATAGCAGAATGAACACTGTAACCAAATTTCATAACTGCCAAATCTTGGAAAATTCACTTGATCTTGAAGATCCCTAGTATCTACATCCTTAAAAGTGAGGCTAATGATACCTATCTGGAATGGTTAATTTTATGTGTCCACTCGTCTGGGCCACATTACCTAGAGAGTTGATCTACATTTTGGATGTTTCAGTGAAGGTGCTTTGGGATAAGATTTATATTTAAATTGGTAAACTTTGAGTCAAGCAGATTGCCCTCCACAGTGTGAATGGGCCTCCTGTATCAGTTGAAGGCCTGAATAGAACTAGAAGACTGACCTTCCAGAGTAATGAAGACTATGCTTCAGTTGTAACATTGTCTAACCGTAATATTGGCTCTGCCTGGATCTCCAGCCTGTTAGCCCATACTGCAGCGTATGGACTTGCCACCTCTGTAATTGTGCCCATCAATCCCATAAAATAAATTCCTCCCCTGCCATACACACTCACCATTAGTTCTGTTTCTCTTGAGAACTGTGACACACAATTTCATCTGGTTGTTGCAAGAATTAAATGAGATAATGTATTTGAAACCACTTTTAAAAAATAAAGCACTGTAAAGCATGAGGGTAGTTGCCTGCCTAGTACATGACCTGTGTGAAGAGCTTTGCTGACGTTTGTAGACATACATATTAATAGTCAAAGGAGGTCACAGGATCAACTTCCTAGATTTCTGTTCTGGACAAAGACAGCATCTGTGGCCATGAAATGTCAACGTATTGAAGACAGGAAATCATGGCTTAGCGGACGTAGTTCCATTTACACAACCAGCAATAGGCACAATTCTTTGGACATAGTTGTTGTCACATAATTGCTGGAGAATAAATGACTTTTATTTATGTGACCAATCAAAAAAGTACACTTTTGTGAATAACTACATGGAAATTGTCAAATACCTTGGAATTAACCCAGGCACTTTGACATACAGCATGGAGGGTTAGAAAACACGTATGTATGGAAGCTCTTCAGAAGAGTTAACTGTCAGTTGATCATAGTCTGTGTGCTAAATAAGGGGGCTGGAAGATTTAACTGAGAAGCCAAAGCCAGGACCCCAGGGTGCTTCCTTGATCAAACCTACAGCCAGAGCTCCTTCTCAAACCAAAAGGCTTTGCTTCCATGCACCTTTGCTGACCTCTGCATAATAGCAAGGTGTAAATATAACTTGGAGAAAATATCAGGGTCACTGCACTGAATGACTACTTTTAAACTCCAGGACTGGAATAAATATAAACTTTAAATTCCAGTCATTGGAATGCTATTTAACAGCAGAGCAAACACTACCCAGCGTCACTTGACAACTCAGATCTCCAGATGACTTTTTGAGTAGCAGTCAATGCTTCACAACTCCATGAATTGTGGTTTATGTGGGCAGATATTTTTGAGGCTCAGCCGTAGAAGAACACGGTTGCTTTCAAAACATTCTAAGCAAAAAGTTTCAGTTTGAAAAAGAAAACCAGACTTCTAGTCTTGTTGGTATTTTTGGAACTGTGTCTTCATAATGACATTTCCAGGCTTCTCTGGATATGGGAGTAAAAGGAGAACCCACCAAGACAGACTTCCTTAAATTAAAACAACAGTACAGATATTAGTTTCCACTTACAAAATTGGGAAAGAATTTGTAAAACACTGCCCAGTATTACTGAAAGCATATCCCTTCACTGCTTATTGGAAAACTATTTGACAAAAAAATAAGTTCATTAATTAAAATTAAAAAGAAAAAAGAAAAGTTTAAAGAAAGCTCAATACTTTGAAGATACAATTCTACCTCTAAGACTTTCACCCAAGAAAATAATCCTATATCAAAACAAAGATCCAGTCACTCATTCCGGTTCAATGCTGTGTTGATTCTAATAGTGAAGAATTAGAAATAAATGCAATGTCTAACAGTAGGGAATCATCTAAGGGAATTTTGCTTCATCCCTATGAAGGAATAGTATGCAACCATTAAAAATAAGGTTGAAGAAGAAAAACTTTAAACCTACTCTCAGATAAAACTAGCCAATTGAGCCTGGTGCAGGCAATTGGGAATTTGGTCATCATGTTGTTAAAAGAAAAAGCAGTCTACAAAGCACTGTGTACAAAATGTCTATTTTTATTTTTAAAAAACAAGCAATATAGATTTATACATGTGCACAAAAGAAAAAGCTAGAAGAGTAGACATTAAAATGTTGAGAATAACATATCTTCAGGTGGTGGGGTGACAGGGGATTTTTTTTTTTATCAGATGCTTTATTCTCCCCTCACCAAATCTTATAAAATAAAAATTCAATCAGCAATTGCCAGGGGTGGGATACTTTTAAACATTTTGAACAAAACGAATAGCAAATAAACAAACAAAAAGCCTGTGATAAACTAGGGTTATCTACTAATAGAAGAAGAAAAACTTTTTACAGAGCCATGTCTAAACCCCAGTGCACTTCCGGACTTCACACTCTAAGGCACTTTGTTCAAGATAATTTAATTTAGGCTTAATGGTCTAGCGTGACCTAAAACCTTCACATTATCTTCATTTAACATGAAGTATTTCCTCCCCACACTGTGCTAAGCCTCGCACAGTGTGATGAAGTCACTCTGTACAGCTCCAGCATTCACACACAGAGGTGGCTGGACACTGTCACACAAATGTTAGCACACAGACACCACCTTGGAAGGGGGAGGTTTTGGCCATCAATCACCATTCTTTATCCCACCGAAATCTAAAACTATATCTAGAGGGAAATAAATGAAGAGCTCCTAGCCCGGACCCATATGTAAACAGATCCATCACAGCTACTGAGGAGAAGTTAGGAGAAGTTAGAGGTACATCCTTCACCCCTGGGAGCACCTAGCCTTCCCACAAGGGTCCTTGATGTCTCTGATAGAGTGGATTGGAAGAAGAATCATCTTGTCTATTCATGTCAATCCTCTTCCACTAACTAGTGCAGCTGGGTGGGCAATGGATTTGAAATTTTAAAACGACTGTTGGTGAAAATGGCTGAGAGGTGGGTTAGTTTAGTTCTAAATAAGTGCCCATCAAGTGAAACCTAACACTTGTCCCCGTTCATTTCCAGCTGTTCCTGCACCATAAAAAGGAAAGAATTGACAATATTTATGTATTCATATATAGTTTTTACATATGAATCAGTCAGAGATCCAGAAAAAGTTAGTCTTAAACAAAGTTTACAAGTGTCCCACTTTGTCCACTGTGTGCACTGTGATGACACAGGGGGACAGTTCCAAGCTAACTTTAAACCTACTCTCAGATAAAACCATCCTGGAGCCACATGGGTGTTTTGAATTAAAAAACAAACAAACAAACAAAAAAAAAACTAGCAAACTTTTAAAAACTGACAGTGAATAGAAGTTTAAGCACATAAGTTTCCAAGGAACATGCGATCTCATGGTCTCCCAGTTCATGATGATACTTTGAAACTCAATAGAGAATCAAAGTTAACCCATTATTATGCCTCATCGTTATACCTTCTCTGAGAGTTGAAAGATGCAAGATTGTACAGCATTTTTACAAGACTGTACAGATACTGCATCAGCCCACCATTCTTCTGGAAATGAAAATAGACAGAAAGTCACAGAGCAGAGAACTCATTAGCCAGACAGACTCACCTTGCTGTCGCTGATCCTCCTGCAGGTGACAGGTGCTCGGACTGGTGAACAGGTGGCTGCTGCCCTTCCTTTGTGTGGTAGACATGGTACCAGCAGTCTGGCTGTGGCTGGAGAATTGCTAGGGCATTTCCTTCCCCCAGCCCGTCACCTACACTGGTCCCCAGAAGGCACCCGGAACCACAGGTACACGCAGATCCTGGCTTGTGTGTAAAACATTTACTCTGCTAATAAACTTCCAAGTTTTTCCAAGTCATGACTCCTGAAATAAATATTTACCAATGTTACTTCTCCTACATAAAATGATGCCAATTCATTTGGCTAAAAATGAGACTTAGTCCCTTCAAAGCAAATTGAAACTTTTTTCTCTTGTAGTCTAAAATCCTGCAAAGTCACTATTTCTAACAGATTACAGTTTTGGTAAGTTTGGTAATTCTTGTCTGCTGATGTGAAATCCAATTTCTTCGGGAGATGACTGCTGGAGTAAAGTAAAAAGTGGTGCGGGGTTGAATCAAGTGATTCCTATGCCTGTGCCTAGTCTGAGTTGCCCTCAGTGACAGCTGGACTTGTACAGTTCTTAAAGGAGACTGGAAGGAGGAGGAGCCAAGGGACTAGGCTGATTAGCATAGTGAGGCAGGCCAGAAGTGGCCTGCTTTGAATAATAGTGACCAGAGCAGGGATTCTAACGATGTCCCGCTGTTACAGTAATTAAATCTCTGACTTCCAGTCCTTTGTTTGTAATTAAAACACAAGCTGAAAACAGGGGTTTATCTTGCGTGGATATTCTTTTCTACATGTGAAATCTAAAAGGTACAACTGGAACTGGTAATGAGCTCATGGAAATATACTGCTGGAACTTTCGATTTCTGTAAACACCTCCTAGTCTTCAGGAGAGGGCAGACTCCCTGCCAACACAACTATTTGGAGTTCTGGAAGAAAAATAAACACACAAAACACGATTTTTTCCAGAAACTTATCTTTGTTTGCCCCTTAGACTCTCTATTGCTATTTCTAGGTCATAAGACAAGTGTTTTCTTGTGTTTGCTATTTCATTACTGTTGCAAAACATAAACCCAAACACCTTTAATTGAACTGAAGTTGTAACGAATGCTGGCAGATCCTGCCCTTTAGGATTCACAGCTCTTTGTGAAGCCAGCAAGGAGGTAGTAGGCAGTAATAATGACAGAGCTGTTTAGCCTCAAAGTCTGTACACTCCAGCTTCCCGTGCATATTTGGAAATCGGTGCTAAACTTGACACTCTCTGAGAAGGTTATGTCCAAGCCAGATCTGGGTAAGTGCCCTCATTTTACTTTGAGGTGATTAACAATTCCCCAAGGATACTTTATGAAATGTGTGATTGTTTTTTTTATGGTGCCTATGATTTGTCAAAATGCTTTTATTGTTTTAAGAACCTATTCACTGCAGTTTTACCTCCATCACAGTGTAACAAATTATAGAAGAAGTGTGTTGCTACTTGGAAAGAATCCCGTTATTAGAGACCCAGAGTTTCCACTTTAAATGACTAGTATTCATCTTGTCCTGTACAAAAAGTCAGGGTGGAAGCTGAGGGTATTTTCTTCCTGAATAACATAAAGCAATCAATTTTTTGTTGATTGTTTTGGATGTCACTAATAAGCATATTATTATATAGGTAAAGAGCTCACAGAACTATAAGCCAGTCCTTGAGAGAAAAGGATTGCAAAAAAAAAAAATGTTTGCTAGTGAAAAATTGTTAAAACATATAAACAGAATAGCATAATAAGCCCTGTGTACCCATTACTGGGATTCAATAATTGCCAACTCACAATCCTGTCTCAAATCTGGGCGTTTTCCTCTCCCTCTTCACTGCACCAAAGGACTAGAAGCACCCAGACATCACCGAGTTCATAAATATTTCAGTATGTATTTTTAAGACAAGAGGACTTTAAAAAACATAATCATGACTGGGATTGTGGCTTAGAGATAGAGCGCTCGCCTAGCATGCGTGAGGCACTGGGTTCAATCCTCAACACCACCTAAAAATAAAAAAAAGATATTGTGTCCACCTATAAACAAAAAATAAATATTAAAAACATAATCACAATAAGACTGTCATAGTTGAACATGGTTCTTCAATGTGATTAAATATCCAGGTAGTGTTCTTATTTCTTTAGTGTCTAAGAGATTTACTTTCATAGGTTTTTTTTTCCCCTTTCTCTTCAAATTGGGACTCAAAGATCCATCCACACAATAAACTTGATTTGATTTTTTTTTTAAGCCTTTCCAATCTAGTTTCCTCTTTGAAAAAATGTTGCTTGGGAACTACTTTCTACATACCCTAATTCGTGTCTGATTTTTCAAGGAAGAACCCTTCGGTACCTCCATTTAACAAAAAAATGTTTTGTTTTGTTTTTTTTTTTTTAGTTGTAGATGGACACAATACCTTTGCTTTATTTACTTATTTTTCGTGGTGCTGAGAATGGAACCCAGTGCCTCCCATGAGCTAGGCAAGTGCTCTGCCACTGAATCACAACCCCAGCTTGCTGCCTCCATTTTTCTTATTCATTCATGTATGTAAAGCTGGGGGAAGAAGGGAGAGGGGAAGGAGCAGTCAACTGACTTAGGCTAAAACACCCGTTTCCCCTGCAATCCTGCTCTCAATACTGCACTGTGCGCCTATGTTTTGCAGGAGTGTGTAAAGTGACATTCAGTGTATCAGTCACAGCGGGGTGGGTGGTTACTCGCTTCCTCCCTCTTCCTCTACTTACCTTCAGAAACACCACCAAGTTAGATCACAGTGGGCCTACTGTGCCGTTACTTTTCACCTGTAAAGAAGTCAGAATGTGGGGCTGGAGTTGTGGCTCACCAGTAGGATGCTCACCTAGCATGTGCAAGGCTCTGGGTTTGATCCTCAGCACCACATAAAAATACACAAATAAAATAGAAGGTATTGTGTTCAAGTACAACTAAAAAATAAATACTAAAAAGAAAAAAAAAACTTTAAAAAAAGAAGTCAGAATGCAGAAGTCTGATTGGATCAAGAAACATGTCAATAACCATCAATATTTTTAAACTCATAATTTGACTAAAACTAAATTAGAATCCTATAAAGCAAACCTTGTTCCCACATCAACACTCTGTGACCAGCCCCCTTCCAAAGGACACCACTGCTTTCCTTAAGCCGAGTTCTTCCTTCTTTGCCATAGCCTCTCTGTTCAACCTGTGTCTTTGTATTCCCAAATGTATACAGGAACGTGTCACAGATAATCAATCTTAGCAGCTAGCACTTTGAGGGTAGAACTTGAAAATGCTATTTTATGATTAGAATTTATAACTCAGACATCATAGTATTTGATTGAATAATCTAAATGGTAATGAGTTCATAGGATGGTTTCGACTCTCAGTTGAATCACATTTACAAAAGGAGAACATATGCATTTGACTCTAGTACACAAGTAGGTCTGCTTGCTTAGTAACCTGCCTGTTTTGAACATATTCATGATATATAGTCTATAAGCACATCTATTCTTTGAAAGCCTTTGGACTGTTTTGAATAACAGGTGCCATATTAATAAAAAGCAGTAGAATTGCATCTTTCACTTTTATGCTCAAAGAATAAAATAAAAGACATACAACAGAATGCAGATTAGAATACCGGAGTCCTTGGGCTGAGCCTTAACATGATTCCCAAAGTGCAATTAACATTACTAAATGATTACTGTAGTCGAAGTCTGATGATTTAGTGTCAAGATGGTATTTTCTGTTGATTTTAAGTAACAGATCCCTTGATCCTTTGTATCAAACAATAATAAGTAGTGTTTGGTTTTTTTTCCTCTCCCCAGAATCACTCTTCCTTAATACATCAACCAAAGACATCGTGGATGAGAATGTTGGATTTCAGAATCTCACAATGGCTTTGGGTAACATTTATGTCATAATGAGCCCATGAAGGTAGACTTCTGTGCTGCAGTAGTCACGTTACTGTAAATTATTGTATGTTATTAGCTCATAGAGTTTCCCAGGTAATACAATTGACTCAATTCCCATTATCGTCATCTGTAATTGCTACCATTGGTCTTTAATCCATTGAATATCAACATTTGTGTTTCAGTTATCAGAAACATTGCCCCATTCAGTAAATAATGCAGTTGCAATTCAAACTAATTTTGACCCTTCTGCTGAAGAGTCTTAGATTCTGTTGCCACAGGGCTCCCCCTGGAGGTCAGCAGAGTCCAGGGTCAGTTAGCAAGGGAGCTTTTTTTTGAGGAGGTAGGAAAGTTACCCAATTATCCTCCTATGGTTGAAACTTGTTGCTGTATGGTGGTATTTACTCTTCCACAGCTTTACATTTTTCTACCTTTATTGAAGCCTTTTAGCCAGAGTTTAAACAAAATAACACCTAAGTTCAGAAAAATGCCCTTTTACTTTGTTTGTTTTAGTGGCAAGGAAACCCAGAGTATAGTGGTTCAGATTCCAAAATATCCACCATCTGGGAAGGATCAAATAATCCTGGCTCTGAATAGCATCTAGAAGTGTTTGCAATGCACAGTCATCAGGACCCATGAGTTTGAGGCAGAACAGAACTCTCTGAAGGTAAATATGCACTAACTGGGGTCTTTTTAAAATTAAAGCAAATAAACTTGCACAAAGTCAAACTTGCTACTTCATTTGAATTTATATTTATAAGAATAAAACAATAACCAACCTGTGTTACTCCTTCCCTTTCTCATACCCTGCATCCTTAGTTGGGTCTTTGTTCCTACCATTTCTCTTCTCCCTTCCTTCTCTATGTCTTCTTTTACTCATATTCATTTTTTTGTAACTAGATGGAATATAATATAACTTTAATGTATTGAAAATAAAATAATTCCATATCTAGTGTTTGCTTCAAAATAATATTGGAAAGGGAGATATGGAGGTATAGGAGAAATAAGATGGACCATACAGCGGTAAATACACGTAAGTAATGAGTATAGTGGGTTTTATTACACTTTCATATCTACTTCTTATATTTTTGAAATCTCTAATAAATTTATAATAAAGAATTTAAAATTTAATTACTCTTGATGAATCTGATTGAAAGGGTATGACAACATGCTAAATTATTTTTAGAGTGTGGAGAGAAACTCTTCAAATTTCCTTTTTAAAATATAGCTTTTTACTCCCTGTGTTTTTCATACAAAGATAGAAAGTGTCATAATTCAAAATACATTACTATGGAAATATGTGAGTATGATTTATAAGCAACAACAACAATAAAAACCCATCCAGGATTTTTCTCAAACATTTGTTGCTGGCAGAAGCATATGGCCATCAGGTTTAGAGACATCCATCGCCGAATCTTACATGGAGATGTCAGATTCATTTGAAGAGAACAAAGCAGTAATTTCATCTCTCAATTGCATGAGAATTTTTTTTACACATTATATTTCTAATTTTATTACTATTTTGTCAATTCTATTTCTAAAATGTAATTGGATTGTGTCTTAGTCAGTTGAGGGCTTTTATAACAAACAGCCTTATACTGTGTTTTTTAAACAACAACAACAACAATTTTTTTTTTTTCACAGTGCTAGA